GATTCCTACCATTCAAGCGAGACCAGCATTCCCATCTGCACCGGTAATGCATCCGAACATGAGAGTGAGTGATCTAATCAATCAAGAGACAAAGACTTGCGATGTGGGCCGGTTGGAGAAATATGTAGCTGCTGCTGATATACCACTCATAAGGAGTATGGCCATTAGTTCAACACATCGCAGGGATATGCACTGCTGGAGCTATACAAGAAATGAACAGTACACAGTCAAATCTGGATATTGGGTTGCACGAAATATATTGATGAAGGAGGAGGAACATGTAGTTTGTGAACCTAGTATCACAAAACTTCAAGCACATTCTTGGAAGGTTAAGGCGCCTCAGAAGATGTGTCATCTTATGTGGTAAATTTTAACAGGTCATGTGGCTGTTACAAGAACTTTGAACTATAGACATATGAGATGTGACAATCATTTTCCACTATGTGGGGAGCCAAAAGAATCAATTAATCATGCAATTTTTCATTTTCCACCTACAATGCAAGTTTGGGCCTTATCATCTACACCTACCAACCCTACCTTATTTCCATTACAGAGCACATATGCGAATATGAATTGAAAAATGCCATTATAGAACCGGAAATGGACATGGATCCTTATACCTGGATAATATGGTATATCTGGAAGGCTCGGAACGATAAGCTGTTCAGAGGAATCGATAGAGATCCTTTGGAGTTAGCCTGATACGCAAAGAGTGAGTGTCAAGCCTGGTTCCAAGCTAATGAGCAGATTATATCGCCATCTCAAGGAAATATAGAAGTTGAAAGCCATGCCATATGTCTCAAAAATATTTGTATGGTAGATGGCTCTTGGACCTCTACAAATCAGTTCAGTGGATGTGGTTCGGTATAGAATGACAATATGGGGAATAGTCAGTTAATGGGGTTGCGTAAAAGTTGATTTACCAGGAATTCGACTCCACTCTCGTTTATAAGGGTGACAGTTCCATTGGGTTAGACCGCTGTGACAGTATAAGGGCCAGACCAACGAGATCGAAGCTTTTCGGGAAATATAGTAAGACGAGAGTTATATAAAAGAACTTGATCATTTGGAACGAAATGTAGAGAAATGATAAGTTTGTCGTGCTAATATTTGGTCCGTTCTTTATATAACTTAGAGTTCTCATAGGCCAGATGCCTTATTTCATCCAGTTCATTAAGCTGGATCTTCTTTCTGCAGCTGTCTTTATGTCAAAGTTTAGCAATTTAGTGGCCCATGCTGCTTTATGCTCTTACTCGACTGGTAAGTGGCAAGATTTGCAATAGAGTAAGTGAAATGGAGTTGTTCGTAATGGCGTTTTAAAGGCGGTTCGGTAAGCCCATAGTGCATTATCTAACTTCCTAGACCAGTCCTTCCTTGTGGCTCCTAGAGTCTTTTCCAAAATTTCTTTGATTTGTCTGTTAGAAACTTTGACTTGTCCACTTGTTTGCGGATGGTAAGGTGTTGCTACTCTATGGTGAACTACGTTCTTTTTGAGTAGATTCTCAAAATTTTTGTTGATGAAATGAGTTCCACCATCTCTTATAACTACGCGAGGTAGGCCTGGGCGCAAGCCGGGTACTTGGAGTTTTTACTATACCCGCTATTTGACTTGCCTGGTGCAAGTATTAAACTTTTTTACTTGTGCTTATACTTGATTCGGTCAAGTACTTAGCTAATCAAGTACTTGTCTATATTTTAAATACATGCAAATTACTTGGTAATACTTGATACTTGTTTATTTAGGTTTAAATTTTTGAAAATTAAATATACTAAAAGATATAAGTTTTGGTTAACTTGGAATATATATATTTTTTTCATATATTTGTTGTTTTGTTTAGTTTGTTCAAGTTATTTGATTTAGTGCATGTATATATAATTCATTAAATATAAGTATGTATTATACTAAATACTTAAAAAGCTAAAAAAATAATTTATTACAATAACAGTAGTAAAACAAGTATATTAAGGGGTAGTAAAAAATTTTAGAATCAATATTTTTTTTTTTTTTGGACAAATTTTAGAATCAATATTAAATTAACGAACCGGGTATTAAAAATAATTGTGATACTTGATACTTGACTTGTACTTGCAAATAATATGATTTGCATACTTGTTACTTGTCTTGAAAATGTCAAGTACTTGATTTTTCAAACCGAGTACGAATCAAGTAGCAAGTATTGACAAGTAACAAGTATTAGTGCCCAGCCCTAACGCGAGGGACTCCAAATCTCGGAAAAATGATGTTCTTGAAAAGTTTGATAACAATAGAAGCATCATTTGTTGGTGAAGCAACTGCTTCAACCCATTTGGAAACATAATCGACAGCAACCAGAATGTATCTGTTTCCGTAAGACGTAGGGAAGGGACCCAAGAAGTCTATCCCCCAGCAATCGAAAACTTCTACTTCAAGAATGAAATTTTGTTCCATTTCGTGTCATTTGCTGATCTTTCCTCGACGTTGGCATCTGTCGCACTTGGCGATAAAGGCATGAACGTCGCGGAACATTGTAGGCCACCAGAATCCGGCTTGGAGGATTTTTGAAACCGTTTTAATGGTTGCAAAATGTCCGGCGTATTCGGATCCATGGCAGTGATAAATGATATCCGAAATCTCAGTTTCAGCCACACATCATCGAAATATGCCGTCGGCGCATTGTCTGTAAAGGTAAGGTTCGTCCCAATGGTACCTTCTTACTTCTCTGAAGAACTTCTTGATGTCGTAGTTTTTAAGTTCTTCAGGTTCGACGTTTGGGGCGAGATAGTTTACTATGTCAGCATACCAAGGTCTTTCGGTAAATCGCTTATCCACAGCGTGTGTCTCGTGCGTGATGTCTCCATTCTGGGAGATATTATGTGTATTTTCGATTGCCTGGCATGCCACAGTCAGGGTCGTATTGATTTTGATCTTAAATGAGACGTTCCGCAGGTCAACATCGTAAGTTCCGATGAGTGATGAATCTCTGAAGTACACATTTTCAGTTGGTATAAAGTCATTGATAGGGATTTCTTCGTCTACTCTGATCCGAGAAAGATGATGTGCGACACCATTGTCTACTCCTCTCTTATCTTTTATTTCCATATTGAATTCCTGGAGAAGGAGTATCCATCGAATAAGCCGTGGTTTCGCATCTTTCTTTTGCATAAGATACTTAATAGCTGCATGATCGGTATGAACAATGACCTTTGAGCCTACTAGATAGTTACAGAATTTTTCGAAAGCGTATACTACTGCAAGTAATTCTTTCTCAGTTGTTCCATAATTCTCTGAGCTTTGTCCAGAGTTCGACTGGCATAATAGATAGCATGTACCTTATTATCTTTTCGTTGCCCTAAAACTGCTCCTACAGCGAAATCACTCGCATCGCACATTATTTCGAATGGGAGGTTCCAGCCTCTGAAGACGCGATGCAAACATCCTAAAGCATGATCTTCCTGTAGTTTTATAAACAAACTTTAGCAGGGTTCAAAGATCCATAAAAAAAATTGGAATTGAATTCACACATCAAATATAGAAACATCAACTACAAACATGCAGAAGGACAACTTATGATTATGAACAAATCAAAATTTATGCAAAATAAGTTAACCAATAGGTATCAAGTTATGTGTCATGTATACATAATAAAGTGTACAACTTAGAGTTTAGAATATCAGAATTAGAATTGATATAGATAATATGGCATGATTATAATTAATGGTATGAAAAATCAAGAATAGTTAGACATATGTCACAACTTTTTAATATCAGAATTTTAGAATGATTTTCTTTAATAATATAGATTATATATTGTATGTATCAGATGCAATCATTTTTTAATCTTTATATTTTTCTACAATATCTAACACATTTTTTATTTTATTTTTGGCTACCTGTTTTGCTGAAAAATTTAATATTATATCAAATAATTGAAAAAAGTTTATAAGACATAATCCGCGCGTAGCGCGGACAAAGGATCTAGTAGATATATAACCTCTGCTTAAATGGCACACTCACATCACAATATTGCACATGATAAACTTCCGCATACAAAATTCCAGTAATATCTCAAGCCTTTTATAAGGTAAATTTCAAGAATGTATCTTAATGTTAAGTTTGAGTGATGCAAAATAGTCTCACGTAATTTTATCTTGAGTTACGTACATATATAAACTAGGCCTAAAACTTATTATCCAGAATATATGTGTTCGTCTAAACCGGAATCGGATCTGCTCCAAAAATAAAATATCTAGAAAGCGTGGATCCGAGTAGTAAAATCTCGGATCCGTCCAAACTGGACCCGAATCTACTTCGGATATCTGGATCCGTATATTTAAAATATATTGAACTTTAATTTTATTAATATTATATTTAGTATATTAATATTTATACATAAAATAATTTATGTATTTATCTAACTTATGTATTATTTTCGAATTTTTGTATTTAAAAAAAAAAAATTTATTGTTAATATTTTTACGAATTCAGATCTTAATCTGGATATCCGCGGATATTACAATGTCAAGACGGATATCTGAAAACCCGGATATCCAGAAGACATGGATTCAGATCCGGATACTAAAATGAAGGATTCGACGAATACAAATACGAATATTCTCGATTTCCGGTTATTTAGATCCGTCCCACACCTAATATAAACTGTGCGGTTTTCAAATGTTTTTTCGCTTTGTATTATTGTTTCTAAGAGCATCATTAACCCTTAGCTCTTAGGATTCTTAAGATTGTTTTTTAATTTTTTTATCTTTAAAACTAATAATAATAAATAAATAAAGAATTAATTGCGGGTCGCCACGTGTCAGTGGAACCCGCGAATAGTCTAAGAACTTTAGCCTTGGTTCTTACACAAGGATAAGAGTTGTCTATTAAGATAATAGTGAGATCCGTGAATTTTAAAATTAATTTTTTTTAAGAACGCTAACTCGTTTTGTTTTGTAATTTTCAATCTGGATTGTCGCGTGTCCTGACACATTATACTAACTAAATCAGTTGCACTTTGAAGCCAATGACTCTGGAAGAAGTACTGTCTGATGCGGACAGCAAAATGGAAGATGAAGATTTCAAAGATGAACAAGAACGCATTGTATTTAATTGTTTCTTATTTTTAAAAAAATATCATTGAATTGTTATCAAGAACATAACTCACACGAGGGGCCTTTGTTTTCGCAATATGGCAGAAACTTGATCGGTTGGATGTGAGCGATGAGGAGAAGAGATTCATGTGGCTTTGGAACACATATGTGAGAAGGAAAAGGTAGCAATATGATTCTACTTGCATTTTATGTTTCAAGAAATATTTGAGATAAGAGTGATCCATCACTAAAATCACTTTGTTATGCCTTGGTTACTTCTGGGCAGTGAGTTCGCGGATGAGCATGTTCCTTTAGCATGTGAAGAGTTCGTAAAACTTCATGCGAAAGAGTTGATCCTTCCTAAATTTATATGGTAACAGTCTTCCATCTACTCATCATTTGATGCCAACATGGAGCATAATATCACATTTTTCTGTTTTGCTTTACTTTACTTTTGTTGATGATTGAGCAGCCAGTGGATAGCGTTTACGATCACACTGTGGAACTACGGTCTGATATGCTCCAAGACCATGGATAAATGCAGTATCATCCTACAGAACACACGTGAAGAAGAAGAAGAAGCAGCAGCGGCGGCAAAAGAAGGCACAAGAAAAAGCAAGAAGAAGCATCCAACTCTAAAGCTAATGCTAATGGCAACGATTGTGATTGTGTGTCATAGGATTATTACCGGTCTCTTATACCGATGGTTTATTTATGTGTTTGGTTTATTGGTTTAATAAACAATTATATGTAAGCTTTTGTTTCATCCAATCAACAAAAACAATTATCATCTTCTTCTATCTCTATCTCTGATCTTCACCTCATCTCCAAGGATTTCAGGTTTCTCAGATGATCTTTCTCTCCCTCTTGATCATCTTTATCCGATTCCCTTCTTTCTATCATACCGTTACAGATTGTCGAGATCTTTTTCTTCTTCGAAATGTAATGGTGATAACTATTTCAGTCAACCTCCTCCCGGCAAACTAGTGTTGAGTGTTATCGGTCCGCATACGGACAAACACTTCGAGACGTCATTTATTTTATTAATATATATTTTGTTACTTAATTTTATACTTATTTAATTTCACTTATCAACTAACTATTTCACTCATTATTTATTTACACATGTATGTATGGTGAAATTATTCTAAGTTGTATGGCCTATGTAATGACCATATATATATATATATATATATATATAAATATTTTTTTTTTTTGGTATGGTACATAAAATCATATGATTTGTTTCCAGATATATACATGAATAATAATATACTGAAAACAGTAAAAGATCTCCACGGAGATGCACCAACAATCAGCAAAATTTGTGTAATGAGTATTGTGAATGTTTTCATAAGATTAAGGAAAGTATATTTTCTTATAAAATTCCGACAGCAGACGATTTCGATGAAGAGATCACAAAAAGGTGATGAGGATGAGGTACCACATTGAGATGGAAAGCTAGATTGATGATAAGCTTCTTTACATTGCTTTCTATATGTATTGTCAGTCCATTTTCAAACAAGACAACAAATAATTAGTTTTCTAGCTAATTACATTATGTATGTATTTTAATCAATATTAGAGTTTGATCTACGCGTCCGTGCGAATGTGTTTTCTAAAAAATAATGCTTTTTCACTATTATATACATGTCATTTTTCATATAATTAATTATATTTTATATGTGCTATCATATATATATAAAACATATACTTAATCATATTCAGGATCGGACCTAAACTCATTTCTGTGAAACATTTGAATGGGACCCCAACATTTAAAGGGACCCCAATTTTTTTAAAAAAAAAATTGTTAGCTTAAAAATTATATATTTCTAATATAATGTACAATAATACATAATTTTTTCAAATATACATATAGTAATTAAAATACTAAATGAACTATAAATATATATAATGCAATATTATAAGATCTGTGCAAAAATTTATTTAAGTATTTTAATTTAATTATAAAAAAACTTTGTAACTTCAAAAAAAAAAAATTAGTATGGGGCCCCAAATTTTACAGGCCCCGCTCTGATCATATTTTATACACATCATAATATAATTAATCACATATTTATATTTAAAATATATTATGTAATATGAAAACCATAATTTGATTTGGTTTTTGAAATTGGAATTTTATTTTATTTTCTTATAATATATTTATTCAATTTTATTCATAATGGTTTTTGAAATATATTAGTAAAAATCAATTTTTGAATATGTTTTGGTATCATTAATCTATATATTATAACATTTGGCAATAACATGTAAATTTCATTCCGCAAATTGTTAGCAATATATAATTAAAATTTTTATATTTATTTTATTCACATAAATAATAATGTACAATAATGTTTAAACATTGAATTATGTAATATACATACTATAAATGAAATTTATGGATGTACTTCATTTCCAAAGAATATATATATATATATATATATATATATATATATATATTTATTTATTTATTTATTTATTTATTTATATGTATCTTTTTGAAGAATGTTAAATTTATTCAAACGAAAAAAAAAAGACTTTTTTACAAACTAATGCAGCTTAAATTTAGATTTCTTTGTTTTGTGAAACAAAAAAAAAACTTAACTCTGTTTTTCGTATAGATAATTATACAAAAAACTCCAAAATTCTAAATACATATAAAAATAATCATATGTAAATTTTAAATTCGTCAATACTAAAATTTTATATTTTAATTACACACACTCATCGTGCGCATGTCGCATGTCTTATCATATAGTATTCTTGGTTTTTTTTATCTCACCTTTAACCCTAACCATGGTGAACTTCAGTAATGCAAAGGAAAAGTTTCCAGAGAAAGTTTCTTGCGATCCATCGTAATTTTGGCTCGTCGGATGTATTCAAGCGTATCCTTTTCTAATCTTATCCATAGAGATAACAAACACATAGCCAATTGAGTTTCCCCATCTTGATTTTGAACATTTATCCATCATCTTTGCCAAATCATGTATTTATATTATTCGTAATAAGAAACTAACATATATAAAATTAGATTTTAACTCTCTACAAAAATTAAGAAAAGTTCAGATGATTTTTTTTATACCTCAATACATATTTTTGAACGCATGTTGGAGAAAACAACGCCGTGGAGACTATTTTCTAGGATTTTTTTTATTTCGAATATTTTTCCAAATCTGCTGGATTAGTAAAGTTCATTTGATGGTAAAAAATATTAACTCAAACGTGAAAACAATAGAGAAAAATATTATAGTAACTCACCGTATATTTGACTCAAAATATCGTGAAAGGCCAGCTTGCACAATTCCAAGAAGAACATCATTCACCGTTCAAATAAAAAAAGAGACAATCAAATCAATTTGTTACAAAAGTATTTAAATAAATCATAAGAAATTAATTAAGTAATGTACCATATTCATCGCATTCTTCACCATTTTCACATCATCCAAATTAGTATTCGATGAATAAACTTATTAATGCTAACTGTAGCACCTGGTTGACTCTTAAGAGATGTTGCTTTTTATCCGGCAAAGCAGACGATAACCATGGACTTGCAAATTTTAACACAAATGTGAAACAGTAGTCTTACTATCAACCAAAACCAAGTAACCAATGACCAACAAGCATGTGTCACATTGTTTTTTTGGGACTACGAAAATAGGTAATAACTCGGGTCGCATGTTTTTCGAGTACAAACGAGCAAAAGAGACATTCCATCACCTAGAGAATGGTGAAATCTAGCCACGGCTATAGATTTCAGAAGGGAAACTCCCATAAAGGTTTGGACTTATCCATTGGAGAAATAGCCTTTTTGTTGTATAATCCTCTAGAAACTGATCAGGATTTTCAATGTCCGGATCTATATGTGGAACAGTTACATGCTCTTCAACTTTTACTTTTGTAGGAATCCACTTAGCTTTTACTTTGTGCTCACCGTGACCGTCTCCTGTGAAAGTATATATAAGAAAATTGTTCCTAGTCAGATAAAAACATTACGGATCTAACTGATAACCATATAAAAACAACAGAAATAACAATGAAAAAGAGTGCAGTTATTGTTTCTTCCTGAATTTGACAAAGAATCAATTTGTTTTATTATTCTTTAAAGATAAATATCATGAAATATATTGGTTAAAAATATTCTTTGTAAATGGTGTAAGTTATAGAAAATAAATAAATGATATGTTGAGTTTTCAATGTAAGAATTCTGATCAGTTTCCATATATATATTGTCCATATGATTCTTCTCTCTTATTTTTCTGAGCATGATTATAAATCAGAAAAAATCAATCATTTTAATGAAGAATAATAGTAATGTTTTCATCAGAAACATCATAACATGAAATGAGGGAATATCGTTTTGAAGGATAAATAATAATAACATGAGTGTACATAGTATTTACCAGGATGCTAGAAGCGTGGATGGTTAATCAAAGTGTTCTTTAAGCCTTCAACGATGGCATTTGGGTTTCCTTCGGTGTTGCATCCGATGATTATGGACCTTATGGTGTTGAAGCAGTTTGCTTTTGTATTTTTGGAAATGTTGGAATTTTGTTTAACTTGTGAAATACAAGATTGGGGTTAACAAATTAGAAGGATAAGTACAATTGGTGGAGAAAACACCATTTGGTGGACCATTTTTGCAGCATATGTGCAGCACTATTTGATAGTCGTCTAACAAAACTAAAATGGTAAATGTTGAAGCTGTATTTACGGTACCATATTCATTCTACGTCCTTGCGGTTTGAATCGTGGCTTCTTGCAGAATAGACACTCTTCTAGCTTCTCGTCATCTCTCCAGTAGATCATGCAACTGTCGATGCAAACATCTATGATCTCCGATGGCAACCCAAGACTATGCCGGTAAGATTACCGGTTTCTGTTCGTGATGTGCTGCAAGAGATAGCTCAGAACCTGATTCAGTGTGCACATACGACTCTTCTAGATTGTTATAATCTGGTGCACCCAATTGTCTTTTATGGCTAGCTTTCACATTGTCATGCCTTCATCAACCCTGTAGGTTTTCAACCTTTATTCGTGCGCTGTGAAACTCCCATGATTGTATGCTTTTCATTGTAACACATTTTCTTGTTCAGCTGTTCTCTTTCGAGCTTTTCAAACTGCTTCCCTTTCTTTTCGGGGTAAGAGAGCCACAGATTGACACAAAACCTGTACCTTACAGAGTTGACGGCAAGCCAAGCAGCTCTTTTCCACAGCGTTCTCAGGTTCCAGACAAAATCCGAATCGTATGTACACCCTGAACCTGTACATGTACCAATCTCTGCACAACCTGATTCAATCAATCAAGATTACACACACCGATAGCATTTCTTAATTTAATAAAGTGGTTAAGTTCAAGTGATTTACTGAAAATATCTGTCAACTGTATATCGGTAACTACATGTTCGATTACTACCTGGTTGTCTTCAACTAATTCTCTGATGAAGTGGTGCCTGATGTCAATGTGCTTCGTCCTTGAGTGTTGGACCGGATTCTTAGAGATATCAATAGCACTTTTGTTGTCACAGTACACCAGAAAGGGACCAGACTGCATTCCATAGTCAGCTGACATTTGTTTCATCCAAAGAAGTTGTGAGCAACAGCTACCCATAGCAATATATTCAGCTTCTGCCGTAGAAAGTGAGACAGAATTCTGTTTCTTGCTTAGCCAAGAGATAAGATTATTTCCAAGAAAGAAACAACCTCCACTCGTGTTTTTCCTGTCATCAGC